TGTTATGACACTTCCTCAATGCAATTATAATATGTGCAATCATAATGGCTGTTGTTGTGCAGAAGACACTAACCTTTTCTTTCACCATGTTTGAGTCATCATGTCTGATGAAATTGTATTGTCGTATAGTCGTGACAGGCTCTGCAGTCAGTATTTGTAATTGTGAATGTGAGAGAAAAAAAAAATCAAGGCCTTTAAAGCTTTTGAAAATAGACATAAATTGACGTGGGTCATTGGGTGCTCTTTAGCCTTGAAGTTAAAGAATGGTGTTGGTTGAACTTCATGATCAATTTTGAGCCTGTAGTTTGTGTTGCTGTTGAACTGCATTGTGTAATATTTAGTGAACCTTAACCTAATACACCCTAATATGAATAATGAAATATGTAGATGTAATAGGATGGTATTTTGGAGATGTTAGTGGTTTCAGTTCATACAGTATATTCACACAAGAACATTTTCAGAAAGTAACATAGTTTGTGATGATCAAGCTTGATAAGTCAGAAAACCTAAATGCATAAAAGTTACATCACAATATTGCAGTATTTAAAATTCCATGTGATATCTACCACGTATCATAATATATTTATATTTGAGTGTTGAAAAAAGATAATTATATATCAGCCAGTATTATTTTTTAACATGGGAACATAACATAAACAAACCTTTATGATAAGGGTCCCTTAAATGTGATAATTTGTGAATAGTGACCATAGCAGTACATTTTGCATTTGGATAATAAACTTGTCAATACTCTGACAATTTATCATCTGGGCTCTAATAATGATATTGACACTATGTGAATATTTTGCATATCTTGTGTCCCTCTTGTTTGGCAAAAGCACTAACATTAATGAATGTGTGACCTAAATGTGAATGAATTATAACTTCATTATCCATATCCATCCACGTGTTGAGTAATTTATAAGTTACAGTCAGTAAAAACTAAGTAATTAATCAACTGCAACTAGAAAAAACTAATTTTGTGACTTGATTATTTATTAATATTGAGTTAAGTTGTGTTATATCACACACTAATTCTTGCATTAGAATAATGAATACATTAACTATGCATTAATAAAGCATGAATGGTATACTCATATTATAAAGAGTATTATTTTAGGTTTTAATGTTATCCCTTTGTAGTGGTTTGTGACAAATAAGATAATATGTGATGACATTTTACAGAGATTCAGATTAAGATTTTTGCCACAGTGTTGTAAGGTTGTTGATGTAATTTCCTGCATTGTTAATTCTCAGTTCTTCATTTGAGTATAGATAATGCTGTTTTAGTTTCTCATTTTCTCCACATTATCTCACGAGAGACGCAAAAGCTTAAAAGACTTGCCCCCTGATCTGTGTTGCTATGGAGTCCCTGGCAGCCTTCATGTAGGCTTGGCTGTAAACATTTCAGGGTTGTTGTACATGGGTTGCTGCAGGTGCCAGCCTTTTCACTGTTTTTTTTCCTTCTATGCTTGGATTAATCTCCAAATGTACTAACAAGGTAAGCCTAATCTTATCTCCCCCATCACTTTTTGTTCAGTAGTATACCACCAATTTCAATAAATCCACCTTGTGTATTTCTGTTGCCTGACTTTTTCAACATAAGTAGGTTATTCTATTGCTTCATTTCTGCTTGACAGGATTCCACATGACAATACCTCTAACCTGCTGGGCAAGTTGAAGTACAGAAAAGGGTCTGGGAGCACAGTAAACAAGACAGGGAGAGGGAGGGAGGTAGGTGGAGTGGAGGAGGGGGACAGAAGGGGAGTTAAATCAGTCACTCAGCCAAAAAACCAGTGCCACGCCCCAGGTGCCAGGGCTAGTAAGAGCAAGCAGCAGGAATGTGAGGGAAATGAATGGGAGTGTAAGTCCTGCCATTCACATGGTGAGTGCTTTCTTTTTTCACCTTTAGCCTGCACTACTTACCATATAAACATATCACAAAGTATGGTGAGGGTCTAAAGAGCAAAAGTATTTAACTGTTGGCTCCAAAAGTATCTAACTTTGTACAAAACTTCTGACGTGAAACATGGATTTTAAATGTATGTGGTTTATTACTTATCCTTCTGTTTACATTGGACGTGAGTGGGAACTAAATTTGTGAAACAGTTAATGAGGGTGGCCACTTTTCAGTTGACTTTATATTTTTATCAAAATTGTATTAATAGCAAGAGTAGACCTAATCAAAACTAACCACATGAGCATGTTCTCTGTCAGTGTGAATATTTTTGGTCAAGCTTTAATCTGTTATTATGCTGATCACAGACGGACAGAAAATGAAAGGTTTTCCTCGGTGGTCAGTGGTCTGCAACAACATGACTGCAGTCTTAAGTTAAAATCAAAACATCACGTGGTGTGTGAGTCAGTATGGTTTATTTCCCAGCTAACGAGGCTGATCTTTTTTTTTTTTTTTTTTTTTTTTTAATGTTCTCCTGAGTGAAAGGGACAGTGTTTTGTCACGGGTAAATAAAGAATACCACTCTGTCTGCTTATGAGGAAACAAATATGCAGCAAAATAAGAATTTTTTCAGTTTTTAAAAACGTCAAGGGACTGTGGAAACACTTTGAACAGGCCAGCCAGTGATTCGAGACCACTGCTCTGAGAGAAGAGTACATATTTTCTGTCTGTGCGGTTGGCAATCTGTTTACTGGAAGGGCTGCTCAGTCAGAGCACATGTTGCTGCATGTGCAGTCAGTCAGTGAGCCCCAAGGAGACTCTAGAGTTAAAGTGTAAATGCAGGGGCAGAGAAAGTGTTTTTGTGGAGGTGGTGGAGGGCGTTTGTGTGCATATGCATGCATGTGTGTCTGTGATTTTGTTTGGAGAACTTTGCAAATAACCAGCAAAACCACACTAGAATCCTGTGTGTATGTGTGGTTCAGTGTGAGTTATATGAGTTTGCTGAGCCCAGATTTAAGCTCCCTTTCTGGGAACCAGCATTCCCTGCTCTTCTAAAGCGAGCTGTAAGAGACTGGAGGGCTTTGGGAATGAAGAGGCATGGGCTGGTTTCAGTATGTCCCAGGTTTGTCTATTGTACACAGCGAGTGGTAACAATGGGAGGGTTAAGTATCTGATATACACACCGAACCCTGGGACTCAGCTGCAAGTAATTAAAGCTGGCAGTTGGCAGAGAAGAGAGTCAGGCGACTGTAATGGCCGCTCTAAGTTCATACCATAATATTTGGATGATGAATCAGGCTGCTAGTAAAAGTGTTGTCATGCTGTTGACCCAAGGCTTTCTCCCCTCACCATGTCCTGTTGGCCCTGAGGGAGGCATAGAAAAGAGAGAAAAAGGCTTTGTACAACCCTGCTGCCTGTTTGTAATGAGATCTGCTGTTTATATGGTATGCTACAGCTTTTGCTTTGACCTCATTAGTTTCGTCATTTTGTACTTTTTTTTCCAGCTGGTTTGTTCCTCCTAAAGGTGTATTCAGAGCGCTGAGTTACCATGTTAGCTTTAATGAAATGGATCATGAGAGAGGACATCTACAGGCAGTGGATGTTCAGTTTGATATAATTTTACTGCACTCTCCAAGATATCGAAGTAATCCATAAAGAGGAAGCTTGGGTATTAGCCTTCCAGCTCCTTGTTTAAGGAAGGTATTCTAAGGTAAAAATGTTCATCACATTTTCCAGGAGTACTAAAAGATGTCTTGTTTTGTCCGACCAACGGTCCAAAACTCAGAAATACTGAAATTATAAACATTTAAAACAATGAAAACCAGCAAATCCTCACAATGGAGAAGCTGGAACCAGAGAAATTGGGGGAAAAAATTAAACACCTACCGGTAATCCAGTATCAAAATAGTTGCCAATTAATTTTCAGTTAATCAACCAATTTTTACAGCTCTACTCACAAGCCTTAAAGGGGAACTCCACCAGTTTTACACATCAAAGTCAGTTAACAGGTCTTGGGAAGTGCTACTGCACATGTGAATAAAGTTATATGCAAAGCCTTCTGTGGCTCCAGAGGGAGCTGCATGAAAGCTGATGAACTGCCTGAAGTGATGTCACTTGAGTCTGCGTTGGTTGGGGCTGAAGACCTTTGTTTGAAAATGAAAAAAAATGGACGTGTGGCGTTAGACAGAGGTGAACTTACCAGACTCTGTAGCCTGCTCATCATCTTCTTCTTCTTGAGATGGGTCACTACATTAGTCTCTACTCTCATAACACATCCAAAACTCTGATTGAACTGTTGGTGGTTGTGCTGCATTGTGGGTAATGTAGGTGTTCAGTTTTGACAAGGATGAAGAATGTGTGGAATACAAAAGATAATATCTCTGGCTCTGCTCCATCGATTTTGATCCTTTTATTTTTTATTCTCCATCAGTTCAAAATCGATGACCTACTTTTTTAAGACTGTGACACAGCAGAAGGTTATTGTCATTTTAAACAATGAAGATGGATCTTTTGAGTGAAGTTTAATAGTCCTGATAAAAATCATGATTGTAAACAAGGTCACTTCACATTTATTCCCACTCTGACGTCACTTTTTTGATTCTTCTTGGTTTTCAGTCTATCAACAAGCTAACCATGCATCGAGCTTTTGTTTCTCTAAATCAATGCCACCATCTTGGTTGGAACAGGCCATAGTGTTGCATGATTCTTGCATATATATATGTTTATGTATGTATATGAGTTGGACAGCAAAACAGAGGTGGAAACCCTTTTGGCATCTGAACTAAGTGCAGAATCACCATGCATTGTTCCCATTGACAAAGATCTGTCACATTTGCTGAGTGTTTCCTTGCCAACCAGGTTGTAGGCATGTTCTTACAATTGTGCAAGAGTTGTGATTGTTGTACAATAATGTGTAACACTGCGATTACAACATAAACATGAAATTGAATTACAGAAATGTTTTTTTCTAAAGAAAATGTGACGCAAAGTAAGAAGGAATGATGTACATATGCATTTGAATCATGAATCACATTTCACTACAGAAAACTGTTGAATTCTTGTCAATGTGTCAACTTATTATCCCCCCCTCCTCTTTCAATAGAATCAGTGTATGACCTTCTTCCCAGAGAGCTGCAGTTGCCTTCCTCCACTCAGCAGAATCCAAAAGCCATGAGTCAAAAGAGCGGTGGAGAGGCAGGGCCTCCCCCTTCAGCTTCTCTAGCATCAGGTAGGATCCTATTCTTCTTATCCTTATTTCTCCTCTGCAAGCAAGACCGTTCATGCCTCACCCCAAAAAACAAACCTATGTAACAGTCTGTACCTGTAGGCAAACAAACACCTGCATAAGACAGGAAATCCAGTCAGACAACCAGCCTGCTGCTCTGTGATCCTCACATGTTAGTCCAAAAAGACAACACCAGAAGGAACTGTATGTCATTGGAGTTGAGTCAGCTGAACATGTCTGCTATCTGTACCTGCTTGTACACCATGAAATGTGGGGCTGAAAAGATTGTAGTGATCTGCTATATGTTTTTGTCTCTTGTAGCAACTAAGCTTTGAAATGCAGGTCATGTACAGCAGGTTCAGACAGTATTTAGAGCCCTCTGGCATTTTCCATTTGTTTATGTTGTATTACTGACTTAATGTTTGTAATGTAATATTATTTCATGGTTTAAACCAAATATAGTTCCTCGTAATGATGCAAGAGCCTGGCAGAGCTTATTATTTCACCGTTTTGCATGCTCAGCACAAAGTACTTGGTTGTGGTTGTTTTAACAGTTTTGTCGCTTTTTTAAAAACAATTGGGAAGCTTTGAGTGGCTGTAATCACCTTTCTGACCATTTTGCACTTCCAAGGTGGAGCTATTGTTCACAGGAGAAGGTCATTTGGGCAGAGAAGTCCAGAAATTAGATGTACTGTTAATGACTAATTACTGCACAGTTCAAAGTGTGGCCAGTTTTATTGGGTGATAAGCCTGTTGACCTCTCCACATGTTTTTTTTAACAACATCTTGATCTCCATGCTTGCAGTGCTTGCAGTGCTTACACTTGCAACTTTTAAAACATTTTGGTTTAGTTCATTGTAGATGAACCACAGATGTCTGGCTGGGTGTGTGATGATTAGACAGAATTTCATTTAAACAGACCAATTACTAGTCATTGGGAAAAGTTATGTGTTTCACAAAAGTGCTCAGAAACTCCAAGCTCACTGTGTGTCACCTGAGATGTGTTAATTTGATTGAAAGTTTATCTGGGGACATGCACCATTAAAGCACAGTATCTACTGGCCTGACTTTATGGTGGGTTCTACTTCATTGTCTAATCCTACTGGCCAAGTGTGTCAAAGCAGGTTAATACAGCCACAAATACAACAGTAAACTGGATGTCATCTGCCATTAAAAACCACAACAAATGAAAAAGATGCCCCCCCCCTTCTGATGATGTCTACAAATCACATGCCACTGCTTAAAAAAATCAATGTATGTAGTCCAAACTAATCAATAATGGACTGAAATGTGTTTTAATGTATAACATATATTTGGCCTTTTTTTCCCCCAGTGACTCTAAGTGTTAATACTTTCAAAGACATTGGATAGGTTGTTTTCATGCAGCAGAGAGACAAGACAAGGGCAGTCAGACAGGATGGACCATCTTTCAGTATTTATTCATATTTCTGGGTTGCAGTAATATGTGATTATATATATATATGTCTATGTGTTGTAATACTTGCTCAAAGTGACACTACCTCCATAAGTTGTATGTGCCTCTTTTTCTTTCCGACTGTGTGTTTTGCAAACTAATGAGTCACCAAACAATCCTGAATGTCAACAGCAGTCTAACTCCTTTTTTTTTCTTTTTTTTTTTTCTTTTTTTTTTTTTTTTTTTTTACAATCTGCAAACGTAACCACACTTTTCTCCACTCTTCATCTAGTTCATTGTAACTATTTGAAAGCTTTACAATTACAGTGTATGTCAGCATGCTGGAGCAACACTTATTGACAAACAAAATACCCTGTGTTTTTTTTTTTTTTCAATCTGAGTAAATTTTCACTGTTCAGCTCTTATTGCTCATTCGCTGTCTCATTTTTATATTCCAGGAAATTCCCTCTGAAGCAGGGAGTGTCTGCATATAAAATGGTCTGCAGTTCTCTGCTTCATAGGTCAGAAGCTTGTTTATTTTGTCTCTGTGGCTACGTTCAGTCCCAACCAAATGAACTTTTGTAGCAAAAAAAAAAACAAAAAAAAAACAACAAAATCGAAAATAAAAGCTCCAATAATTGGCATGCATCTTACTGTGCATATGACTGTTTTGAACTTCCCTCTTTATTTCATCATTTTGGCAAATTTTTCATTCAGTTGAATATGAACAAAATGTTAGTAATAATGATACATTTATACAATTATTCTGTTTTTTTAGTTGTTAATTTATTTACACGCATTTTTACTCTTATCTCTTATCTTTTTACTCTTACTCAGTTTTTTAAATAAGGGGGACTGCTCACCTCTCATCTCTTCTTTGGCCCCATTTTAGTCATACTTACACTACATTCACAAATATTCAGATATCACATATACACATATATAATCCCATGAAAAGGGGGGAAGATATATAAAAAAAAATACAAAAAAAAAAAGAAAAGCAAAAATAAACAATCATGAACAGATTTGCTGCTTAAATGGGACTGCTAGCCAACACTGGTTGAGATGCCTTTATTCACTGTCTAATTATTTGCACTGTAGATGCCATGTCCTCCTCTATGACCATGGAAGGCCCCCGCAGTGCTTTTTCCACCTCTTCCAGCTCCACCATGCATTCCAGTACTTCAGCCAGTGACCAGAACCCAGTTCACAGCAACAATGTTGACCCAGAGGACACCAGGAATAGCAGAGCGGTACCAGAGGTTGTTGGAGCAGAAAGTGGGAATGGTAACGGCAGCAGTGGCAGTAACTGCAGGGGCAGCAGTGAGCTAGGTGGAGGAAGAGGTGCGACATCCCAGGAGGCCCAGCCACATCACCAAATGACCCCGTCTAAGCGCCGCACCGTGCTGAACATCTCTCCACCACCACAAGACTTGTTTGATGATAGCCTTATGTCCTGCCAGGAAGAAGCATCTCTGGACTCAGAGCAGAGTAACAGCATCTGGATGGACGACTCTCTTTCCAACTTTAGTATCATGAGCACTGTTTCTTACAATGACAACACAGAGGTACCACGAAAGTCCCGCAAACGTACCCCTCGCCAGAGGCCTGGCCCCAAGTCTGTGCGTGCAGAGGAAGCCAGCATGGACGTGTTTGATGCAGACAGTGCCAAAGGCCCACACTTTGTCCTGTCACAACTAGGCCCTGACAGCAAGACGGGACCAAAAGGAAGGTTTGTGTAACCTGTAGATGTATTTAGCTTAAAGTAATTGACCTGTTTGATGTAACATGTCCATGTCTACATCTCACAAATTTGTCAAAGGGGGCTATGGTTAAGTACAGATGGGTGAAGGATTAAAGGAAAAAACAACTTAAAGTGTCTTAGTAAAATATGAAGCCACCACCAGCTTCCAGGACAAAGTCTCTGAAGCTCTGCTGGAGGGATGGACACCATTATTCCAAAAGATAGTCTAGAGCTGCAACGATTAGTCAATAAACAGAAAATTAATCAGCAACTAATTCCATAAATGATTAATCGTGTCAGTCATTTTTCAATGCAAAAGTGCCAAATATTCTCTGGTTACAGCTTCTCAGATGTGAGGATTTGTTGTTTTTCTTTGTCATATATATAACAATGGAGTGTATGATTCTCTTCATATCAAATATACATATTTATATATATATATATATATATATATATATAAACCATTCAGTGAACCCTTGTGCTTTTTTTCCACTCATTCAAGTCTTTCCTGTAATTTGACTCCAGTTAGTGAGTCCTTTACTCAGTACTTAATTAACTTTTTTTCATTTAATATTTTATCATTGGTATTTGCAACAATGAGCTCTTAAGTTTGTACTCTGTGTGTATTTTTCTTACCAGTGTCCTTCGGGATAATCTCATACAGCACTCATCGTGATTGTCGAGAGGTATTATTGGGAAATAACACCTTGACACACACCAACAGATGGAAATCTTTAACAAACTACTCTGGCTCTAAATTTCCCACCACACTTTGACTGAAGAAGAGCGGTTAGATCAGAGGGGAGGGAGGGGCAGGATACTGAAGTACAAACAATGGTCAGCCACAGTGAATCACAGAGCCTCTCTCAAAGACCTAGGATAAGCAGAGCAGATTAAATAAACAGATAACTCTGAACGCTTTAAGAGCTGCAGATAGAATATGCTTGGTTGATGGAGGGCCTCTTAACTCTGCATTGCTCAGTTCACCATGGCAACTTCAGAGCTTTTTCACTGTTGCGGCTATGAGAGCAATTTTACTGCAGCAGGCCCCAGAACAATTTTCAGCTAGATATATAAACAGATATTTAATATTGACAGGGATCATGTTGTGTCTTCCCTTCCCTTGAGTTGAATTCTGAACCTAAAGTTTGTGCCAGTAGTTGTATGGTTTATCCTTTTGAATACAAGAGTGAGGATAGGGTCGTAATCTGTCAAAGTTACAGACATACTTTTTAATTCACCACATTGCAGGAAGATGCCAGCTAGGTTACATGTAGTATAATGTCAGAATTGCTTGAAGATGTTAGAGTTAAAAGGGATCTGCTTATGTTTCTGTCAAACTGGTCTTTGTTGCAGCTCTGATGATCCTCAGACAGCCAACCAGAAAGGAGGAACTCTTTCAATGCAATACCCACAGAAGAGTGAGGGGAAGGAGCTGAAGATCCTTGTCCAGCCTGAGACTCAGCACCGAGCCCGCTATCTGACTGAAGGCAGCAGAGGGTCAGTGAAGGACCGCACTCAGCAGGGCTTCCCTACTGTAAAGGTGACTGTTAAACCCCTGACACAGCCTCTATAATGAACTATGTCGTCAATGTTTCAGCTTTTCTGCTAGGCATTTAACTTCACCTTCAACTTTTGCTTTAAGGTTATGTTATCCAGTTTTTGTTTTACAACTGCCCTGCATTATGGCTTCCTATCATATTTATAGTTTATTTTAGTATATGGTATATATGTGGAGAGAGGAGTACCACTGTAAAACTGTTGGGGCCAAAAGGTTAAGACTGGATTTGGGGCTGTAACTGTAAGTGTAGCAGAGCCTCAGCAGCAGAAGACAGTTGGGTAGGAGCAAGAACAAAGACATTGTCTTGCGTTTGATCGTCAGTTTGGCCAGTTGCTAATCTGGAGTTGAATGTGGGCACAAACCAATGTGAGTTCTGCTGCATCAGATACTGGCTTGTTTGTACTGTCGGGACTCAGGAGGAACAGTTGAATCCGGATGCAGAAACAGGCACAGAAGTCAGCAACAGAAGGTTACAACAGAAGATAAGAAACACGAGCAGACTTTTAGGAGGCTGACTAGATGGCACAAGAATGTGGAATTAAGATAAGCTAATACACAAACCAACAGTACTGGATGAAGGTATTGTAAATGGGCAGGACATATGAGACATGATTGCTTGATGAGAAGAAAACAAAATGCACTCGGAGAACACACTGAGGGCATCTGCTGGACAGGTAGGGAAATACATTTGTAAATCTGCAAAACGAGAAAGGTGTAGAGACACAGGAGCAAGTTCAGCTACAGGATAGTATAGAAAATGCTCTGGTCCCTATAAAGCAAATTTTGAAAATTTGTGGTTCATTGAAAAAAACTGTCAACCAGAATGTATCATATTCAGACGGTTTCAGTGAGCCGACGTCTTTTAATTCCATGTCTTTTTCCTCTTACACAGCTGGAGGGGGTGAACGAGCCAGTGGTTTTGCAGGTATTTGTGGGAAACGATACTGGGCGTGTGAAGCCTCATGGATTTTACCAAGCCTGCAGGGTGACAGGCCGCAACACCACAGCCTGCAAGGAGGTGGACATTGATGGCACAACTGTCATTGAGGTGTCCATTGATCCAAGCACCAACATGACACTAGCGTATGTACTTTTCTTGAGCTTGAGAATGTGTAGTTTGTGTGATAATTTAAAATGTGTTAAACCACAAACAGAGCCCCCTTTTCAGTGTTGCTTTTATGTGACCAGATCACAGATTATTCTAATCAATTGCTTAGTGAAGCAATTGCATAATAGACCCATGTGAGCTGGAAGGTAGATTGAAATGTTTATACTTGTGTATTACATGTTGTGAAGAGCTGATAGTTCAGCAAATAAAGTTGTGTTTTTTTTTTTTTTTTTCCACAATGTCTTCCAAACTAACATTGTTTCTCTGTGCAGGGTGGACTGTGTTGGGATCTTGAAGCTCCGTAATACTGATGTCGAAGCTCGTATTGGTGTCGCTGGATCCAAAAAGAAGAGCACACGCGCTCGGCTGGTGTTTCGGGTCAACATTCCACGTTCAGATGGATCAGTGCTGACACTACAAACTCCCTCATCTCCAATCCTGTGCAGTATGTCAGCCTCCTTGTGTTTGTCTCTTTGAAATAATTATTATATTAATGCATATACTGGTTGAACCATTGAACAATAAGGTATTAGACTGCAGATATTTCAAAGAAATAGATTATATGGATTGTTGCGTTAATTTGCGTGTATTGTTTCACTATATGAAACCAGTTGCACTAAAATACAGAGTTTGAAATAGGTTAAACAAACAGTTGACCTGTAACCTACTTAGTTAATAATTACCATTTATTCTGTAAACTGAGGTATTTTCTTCTTCTGTTTTAACAGGAGAAGCCCTGTTTTTAAAGTTTAGTTTAGCCTGAGGTCGGGAGACTGGTGTCCTTTGATGTCAGCATTTGGACACAATGTGTAAAGATTCCTTCAGACTCGAGTGTTATTTAATAATGCGTACAGTATGAGGGTGTGGTTGGTTTCATAAACAGGAAAGACGCTTAGGGCCATAAGAAAGTTTCTGTGTAAGTAGATTTGGGAGAGACAGGGGAGAAAGAGAAGGAAAGGACGAAACAATAGGGGTGTGTGGACCTCTATTGTTTACACAGAGCCAGCATGCAATCCAGGGAAATATCTTTCCGCAAAATGAAAAAAATAGTAATCCCCCTTGGCATCTGTGTGTGTGTGTGTGTGTGTGTGTGTGTGTGTGTGTGTGTGTGTGTGTGTGCGTGTGCGTGTGTGTGAGTGTGTGAGTGAGAGAGAGTACTGAAAAAAGGGAAAAAGTGAAATGTGTTAGAGGAAAGGGGGAGTGGTTTTGAGCGTCAGCATATTTAAAGCCTGTTCGTCCATTTTGAAGGCCTGCGAGGAATATCCAACTATTTATGTATATATTTTTTTTTTTTTTAAAGTCAATGCCGCCCTGATCATATGAACCATGTTAAGCAATGGTCTTGAGCTGCAATGGGCAATTTGTTTCATAAGTAACAAATAAGTTGGTGTGAAAATGAGTGTTTTCATCAGTTAAATCCAGTAAAAAAAAAAAGATGAAAATAGGGAAACAGATTCCAGCATCCAAGAACATCTCTTTTGCATTTGCAATTGTCTGATAGCTGCTAATGACAGATTCATTACTTCATGTATTCATGCATGTATGCATTGACGCTACAGCTATACACTGACTATAGAGTGTCCAAGAAAATCATTGTATCATGTCGAAGTGTTGTTGACGGACACTGTGAACGCCAAAAAAGCTTTTAACTAAATGCCCAATTATGTAAAAAGCATCTATGATAACTTTCCTCAGTTCTTAGGGCTCAACATAGTTCGTTTTTAATAATAATATCTGTATCTGAAAAAATCAGTAATACGCCACCATGGGTGATGAAATGCCTTGAAGAATAATCAACAGCTTATTTTAATTTTTCTCTTCATTTTTTCAATCATGGGGAGCATTTTTTTGGGCTGTCCTCCTTGAAATAGGATTTAAATTACTGTTGTGTCTTCTTAGAGCACCAAACAACTTTTGGATGCATAGTGACTCTAAATCTTGTGAAAATCATTGATCTGCTTCTTCAAAAAAACAAACAAACGTCCTGATAGCTGACTGGTTAAGGCACATATACCTGATAACCGCAAAGATCTTTCTTCTCTCTGACTGTCTCTGTGCAGTGCCATCCAATTAAGGTGAAAATGCCAAAAATAATTGTGGTGTTTTTATCTGGTCTGTTTGCAGCCCAGCCTGCAGGGGTGCCTGAAATCCTGAAGAAATCACTACACAGTAGCTCAGTGAGGGGAGGAGAAGAAGTCTTCATCATTGGCAAAAACTTTCTTAAAGACACCAAAGTCATATTTCATGAGAATGTTTCTGGTAAGACATCAGTCTTTTTCAAATATTCTTGGCCAATGACATTTTAAGTTAATCCGTTTTTAATGTGGTGCTCTCCAACCAAACGCTACATCTTCTCTCCAGATGAGAAATCGTGGAAAGCAGAGGCTGAAATTGACATGGAGCTGTTTCACCAGGTAAAATGTGAATGTTTTTTGCGTTATGTATTGCAACAAATGATTAATGCCAATTACTAATAAGCTGAGTAGATAGAAGCAGCCGTTCCAGATTTGTATTGGACTTGTAATCATGTAATCATCTTAAATGGTTCAAAGGTTTGAGTAGTCTCATTGTTTTCTGACCTAATTACACTCAGTCTCTGAGCATGTACTGAGTGTGTCTCAACAGTCTAGTTTAAACCTTTGCCCTTATAAACAAAATAAGTAGATGAATTCATAAATCTGCAGTTAGTAGAAAAGCATCTTTTGTTTTTATTGAAGCTACACTGAAAAAAAATGTTTTGTTTACATGGTATGTATCTTGAAGGCCTAACAAGTATGTTGAATTTTGTAACTCAAAAATCATGCATCAAAACATGCACTGTTGAAGTTGGCCAGTGTTATTCATAATTGAATGCTGAGTAATCACATTTACATTACAACCTACTGCAATCACAGAAACGAGCAACACCGTGTTCATGGTGTGTTGATAAAGCATGAGACACAAACGTAGTGATGACCTGCTCAATCAAATGTTGTTCCACACTGTAGGAAGTGGTAAAAAACATTAGTGTAATATTTATTCATCTAATTAAATAATTAAACAGTTAAACTTCTTTAACTGTAAGTTTATTCATTTTTTACTCACTCACTGATTAGATACGTGCTGATAGACATACTGCTGTCCCACTGTTGCATTTTTTCTTGTTTGCTGACATAATTTTTCATATGATCATCCCAAAGAATCACTTGATAGTGAAGGTTCCTCCGTACCAGAATCAGGCCATCACCTCTGCAGTGTGTGTGGGAATCTATGTGGTGACGAATGCTGGGAGATCTCATGATGTCCAGCCTTTTACCTACACTCCAGATCCAGGTTTGTATCCGTTCATTTCAGTTAATCTATGAAATTACAATATGTTTCAAAAGCGCAATACACAGCCCATTTCCAAACACATCCACATTCAAGACCTTTGAAAGATATGACCAAACAAGTAACTGAAACAATGGACTGTGTCATCCACATTCTTTTACACCACATTTAGCGCCTTTGCTAAAGACATGACTGTTCTGTAAGGATATTTCTGAAGATTTTTTTTTCCTGTATTGTTCACTCTGTTGAATCTGTTGATGTTTGTGTTGCAGCAAAACAAGATGTCCCAGTGAAGAAAGAGATGCCTTCTCCAGTGAAGACTTGTACTTTTGATGAACAAATTAAAGGTTATTTTCCTTTTGTGTGCAATTCAGAAGAAAAAATATTTATACAAATGAGTTGAGTTCTGGAGTCTCCCATCAGGCTTTGTGTGCCTTGCATTTGAAAGCTGTTTATTTCCTTATACATTGTATACACACACTGTACATTGTGAGCTTTTAGCTCACAATGGCTAAAAACAGCTGGAAAAAATAAAACATTTTAAGAATAATATTTAATATTATTTAATAATTATTTATTTAATGTATAATAATAAGTCCTTTGCTCTTGCTCCTACAGTTCTAGATGGTGCCTTGATGCCCTCTATGTTGCCTTTAGTGAAGAGAGAAGATGTCACTCCGATGGAGGTGACCAGCAACCTCCAGTCCTCTGGAGTATTTAAGGTGATGTATTGATCTATTACCTCAGTAAAGGCCTCATTAATAACTTTTACGTTGTGAAAACAATTTAACTGGGTTGGATTGATTTGATATTTCAAATTACATAAACTTTCAGAAAAATTCACTTCATGCTTAGTGTCCTTAAGTGGAGTGTTCTTGTACATATAGGTTTAACAATTAAACATGCTGCAGTAGTTTTGCAAGTTTTGCAAAGACAAAAATAAAGCACCTTTTATTTTGTGTTTCTAGCAGACTGGTGACCTGTGTCCAGCCCAGCAGAACCCAGACATGACTGCAGGACATCTAAATAAAAACAGACCATTCTCCAACAACCTGTCTCAGCCTGCAAGTGACCCTGACAAAAGCCAGGCTCCTGTTTTTACCAACACTGAACCCTTAAGCACCATCCAGAAACAGGACATTGCTGCCACCAGTTCATTCTCTGTGCCTGCAGACTCCCTTCTGCAGCAAGGCTCACAGCAGTTCCTCCTGGAGCCCAGAGAAGGCCTCAGGCAGGAGAGGCCAGGCAGTGGCTCTGGAGCTGTTGGGAGGCTGTGTGGTGAACCCGCACCCCAGCAGCAGCAGCTGCCGCTGTTTCCTCCAGATGAAGTGGCTCAGCTGGAGGAGGCAGTGAGACAGCTAAAAGCCAAGGGGTTCTGTAGTTTACCACTACAGTCTGACAACTCAATGGCCAAACAGCAGCAGCAACACATCCAGCACCAACAACAGATCCAAAAACAGCAAATTCAGCAGCAACAACAGCAACAGATGCAGCAACAACAGCTTCAACAGCAACAGCAGCAGCAGCAGCAGCAGCAGCAGCAGCAGCAACAGGTGTTGGAGAATTTACAGCAGCAGCTTTTCCAGTCACAGATTCAGATGCAGTGTGGCATGTTTCAGGATGCCTCCCAGGGCAAGAATGCAGAACAGCAAGGCTCATCACAAGGAGTGGTGCCAAACCAGGGATCTCTCTTCCAGCAGGCCCAACAGCAGCAGCAGCAGCAGCAGCAACAACAGCAACAGCAGCAACAAGCAGCTCTCTTTCAGCAGGCAAATGACCTACTTTCTATTCAGACCAACTTCCTTCAGCAGACACCCTCTCACCCTTCACCACCCATGTTCCACAATCCAAGCTCTTTGGCTGAGACACAAGATCCACAGGGGGCTCTTTTTCAGAAAGCGTCTCAGGAGCAGGTCCAGGCCGCTCTCTTCCAAAACACCATGACAGTACTACAGTCTCCAGAGCAACAACCCTCAACCCCTGGACTTTTCCTCCCCCAGACCTCCCTGCCCACTCAGCTTACAACCAGCAGCTCTCAGCAACAGCAGCAGCAACAACAACAACAACAACAACAACAGCAACAACAACAACAACAACAGCAGCAGCAGCAGCAGCAGCAACTGGCCTTCCTCAGTGCTCTGCAACCCCCTGCCCCTGAACCACAATCTGTATTTCAGGCTCAGACCCAGCTCTCCCCAATCCAGCAGAGAAGTCCAATGGAGCAGCAGCAGCCCTCCCAGCCTCAGCCCCACACACAGCCAACCCAACAGGCTTCCCTGTTTCAAAACATCTCCCCACATCCATCTGCAAACACACTCTCTCCAGGCCAGCAGCAGCAACAGCAGGCTGGCCTGCTGTTTTGCAACAACACCCTTTCCACACCAGACCAGGCCTCCAGCCTTCTGTTCAGCAGCCAGGGCCAGATGCCTCCTTTGACCAGCAGCAGTCTAGTTCCTCAAGAGCCCCAAAACCCCTCTCTGCTTTTTTCCCAAGCCAGTATGGTGACAGTAACCCAGCAGGATCGCTCTGAGCCCATGGCATTAGGGAACCCCAACGACCCAAGACAGCAAGTCATGTTTCAGGGGCAACAGCCTATGCAGCTGGGCAGCAGCTCAAACAACCGGCAGGAGCAGCCTGTAGGCCTCTTCATGCCTCAGTCCAATATGGCTTCTCTGCAGGGGGGACTAGCTCAAGAGCTCACGCAGTCAGCCATATTTGCCTCACAGAACGGTGTGGCAAACCTACAGACGACCACCTCATCCCCCGTTCAACAGCCAGGAACTCTCTTTCAAACTGCTGTGAGTGGGAGCATCAGTCAACCCAGCCAGCCTCAACAACCTGGCCTGTTCCTTTTTGGGATTCAGAATGGTAAGAAATTGATAGCCTAGGTGTACGTCCTTGACACTGTTGAGATGACAATGAAATTTGTCAGGTGGCCAAAAGCATCATTCCAAAGTAACGCTAACATTTCTGCTCAATGTATAAGTAGACACTATTTGTGAAAATGTTTGCCATATCAACTTAAAAGGTGATGTCATTGTTGTGTTTACAGCTTGTTTCTGCTGCCTCCAAGTGGCCAAAAATCAGTTCATTTAGTTTCATGTGACTCAGAAAAGATAAGAGAGTTAGGAAATGGGAAAGTAGATAGGGAACCTTTAAATCCTCTCTCAGAAACTGAATTGTTGCACTGATTCACAAATTTCACAATTCACTTGTCAATTCATTGTCCAATAAAATGTAAAGTTACTCATTTATTTCTAAGTTTTTCAAAGGCTTTTTAGGTCCTCTATGAATGTGGTAAGAATTCATGACAATTAATATTCGTACTTCAGAAGAATCATATCACTATATGACAATATTATGATATCTAGACTATTCATTGTCCAAACTGATGACTGAAACACACGCAATCCATATTTTGTGTTGTGTGAACTTATAAAATCACAAAGCAACCAGGCACATCAAACTCATTAACTGAAAATAAATAAATATCTCCTCATTTTGACTTATCTGTTCCCTCCTCACAGGATGTGGCCAGTTGATGAACACACCTGGAAACACGCTGTCGGATCAGATAATAGCCATCAGCCAGTCTGGTCAGAACCAAAGAGAGAGTGGCGCACACATCCAGTCCCTGCTCAGCCAGTCCCTGTCTCAGTCTGGGACTGTGCAGAACAGCATGTCTGCCTCGCAGAACATGGAGAAGATCGATGACCTGCTGGTCAGTCTGCAGGAGTCTGGCAGCAACTTAACTCGTTCATACTAACCTTCATAAAGGTTCATGGATTTGTCTTTTATTTTTTACTGATAATATTTGGAATAATTGTAAAAAGTCAAAGTGTTGTCTATTGAAAATTCCATGCAGGTAAACGTTAATGAATTAGCTTGAGAGAAAATGAGCATTATGAGCTTATATCTGGTCACCAAATGTTTTTCTGCTAACACATCATTTGAAACTGAGGAATTATTAGGAACGAACTAGCTAAACATTTCTGCTGGCCTTTGCTGAGCCAGTCTCTTCCCAAAAAGACATAGCAGTATAGTAAGTGACATAAATGTTAATGTTTATAAAGACAAACTGGAGAAATGAATATCCAGATAGTGAACTAGGAATTGGGTGTGGGGTTTTTTGGCTGAGCGGGTTGACTAAGAAAAACCAATGTCTCTTACTAACTTAACGACTGACTGACTTCCCATTGTTTAAACAAACGTGAAAATTGAGGTGGACTCCAGATGAGAACAACAATGAGAAAAATTGTCATTACTGTCTGATGAGAGAGGTGGAATTCAGCCCTTTTCTTCAGCTTTCCCTCTAGAGGACAGTAACTTGCCAGGCTTGGAATTCATTTAACTTGTGAAGTTTTGTTTATATCTGTAAGTGGATTGTCAGTGATCTGCACAATCTTCTGTTTTTTTCTATAGTGTTGTCCAAAGTGTTTAGTGGTTTCCACTATATAGTGCTCCCTTCAATACTTTTTTTGTAATGTTTTTGTTGTATGGCGGGTGGAGTATGCGGTATGGCAGGAAAGTTTGGACAGACTGGTATGAATGATTAGATACGTCAAAGAAGTTGAAGGTAACCGCTGTTGACATGGTTTGAAATGATTTTCGCAACAGTGCAGAAAGTGTAGTGAAAGAAGGTCAGAGGGATAGAGAGAAGGCAGGGAATTGTAAGTAACAAGTAGAAGACTGCAGGCTACAGAAATAAATAGAAACATTTTACTACACTAATCTGGTGTGTAGTCGAAAACAGGTGTCTATCACGTATGTGGGTGCTTATTATTTCAATGCTGTAGCAGCTAGTTTGCACCTGATATGAATAAATTCACTCTAGCTGTCTCTGATGCACATGGTGCACACAGTGACTTAGGTTTTCGTTAATGGGATGAAACTGCACTCAGCAGGTTCATAAGTAACGTAATGTAGTAATTTTTGCTATCTACGTAAAACCTGGCTAACTTAAGTCTAGACTTGTTTAGGCCTGTTTGGTACAGTAATACCTATAAAAGAATATTTGTAGTTCAGTGAGCAGCTGTCAGTGTGGCAGTGTAGTGAAGATGGTCACCTCCAGCTGTGAAACATATCTTTCTATATTAGATACTTTGCCATCTCCACGATGCAAACATGTGTTCAGGCTAACATTTAGTCTGTATTCATCAAAACCAAACTGTGTTGGGTTGCTACTTTTTACAACAGATTCTCATTTTCATGCATTACAAAGAGATTCATCTTTTTAAGAAAGTGTGACAGTAGAAATATACAAACACAAATACTGGCTGAGATTTTCTTTTTTACATGTATATTCAGCACTTTATGGTGCTGTTCTTTGTGACCACTGAACTCATCCAGGGTACAGAACAGTCCCGCAAGAGGTGGCTTTTTTATGACAGCCATCTCTTCCTCATTGTTTACAGTGAAGAATACACATTTTTAGACATGCACTTGGATCAGAAATGATTGTCATTACTGTCCTGTGTTTGCCTGGCAACATCTTTGTAGTCAAGCAGACTTGCAAAAATATCTCAACTAGAATTTCTTTTAAGCCAGTATCAGCACATCTCATCGCCAGCCAGGTTACAACTACTACTTTTCATTCCCCAAACCTAATGCATTATTTATTCCTGATAACCAGCTTAAAAATCTGGACAAATGAGGAAAAATGTGGATCAAGACATTTTTATTCAAATATTGTAATTTTAGTGGACCTATAACTCTTATTTACACAACTACAGTAGCAAGAGTAGAATGTAATATAGTGTATTAATATAATATTTGTCATAAGGGTTAGATCATTATGTGTTTCAGTGTCATTTTGATGGCATCATTCTGCGTCAGGCACGCATGAACTGGAATAGTATTCTTAAACCAGCTAGAAAAGAGCCTTTCACCAGTTTTATTAATGTGATGGGTTTAGTGAATGTTGAGGAGAAGCAATAGTTTGTTGGCTACAACTGCACAATATATATCTCATATGGGTTAAGGTATTAACATGCAGGAATAGAGCCCATTTACATGTTTTCTTGTAAATGCAAACTGTAAACGTCTACAGATTTAATTCTCCTCTGCAGTTGGTCAGTGGCCTCAGGACCAAAGTTTGACTCGAATCTTGCTTTGCATAAATCCTGATGACAGGCCAGTTTTATGGCTCACAAGCTTTTCTTTTCTTTCTTTTTTTTTTCCTACTTGCAATTTTACTTTTTTAGAAAAACATAGACTATTTTTTTTCCTCCTAAATATACAGATGTCATTGTTAGGCACAATGTCCTGCTGTCACACTTTTCTTTCTGTTTGTTTGTTGTGTTGTTTTGGAAAAAAAAACAAACAAAAAAAAAACATGTCATGGCTAGTTTTACTGTAAGTGTATGCATGAACAAGGGGCTGGTCTCTGATGATGACAGAATTAGCTCAGTTTAATGCCTTGTCTTGTTTTCTCTGTACAGTTTGTTAGAAATACATAAACACAGTTACATTTTATACACTTTGAAATCAGAAACAGCTGTTGTTTTATGATGGAGATTATGTAAACTTGACTAATGTGATTTATGGAACTACAGTGTGTGTGTCTGAGCAGTCTGAGTGGTATTTAAAGGGACCCTACTCCTGAAGGAACGTGACTTTGGAGCAAAGAGCTATCTGTGATTGGCTTTCTTCATCTTGTGAAATAGAAGAACTAAGATTTCCAGTGTTGAGTATTTATGATTTTATTTGTTTTTGTTTTTGTTTTTGTTTTACAAAGTTTTTATTGGTGTAGTTCCTGCGCCTCTTTTTGGAGAAGCATATCTAATTTATTTGTGTGTTGGTTATTATCTAAATTGTTTCCCGTAATCATAGTTGTGTTCAGATCTTTCATTTTCTAACTGTACTGATGACAGCAGGATGACTCTGAATAATATATACATTCCTGTGCACAGTTACTCCTTTGTGACTTAGATGAATTAATATACACCTTAATGTACATATCATGTGTTTGTTTAAGGCTTGTAATTGGACAGCTGGTGCTGTAGTCCTTTATGACCACAGCAGGGAAAAATGGCACCAAACTTTTAACTGCTTTTACTGTCAAAAAAAAAATCCTTTAAAGTAGGACCAACAAATTTCAGTATTCTTACCATGAATATAGTACTGAATGTAATTATACAGCATGGCTGTAATGTCTCACTTACATCCAGAATGTTCTTTTATACACATATTGGGGAGGTAATCATTTTTTTGGAATTACAGTTTCCTCATTTGTGTATTTATAATGTAACTGGAGATCGCAAATATATAAGAGTGTTACTCTTTATACTGTCATTACTAATTGTATGGAAAAGAGGGGGATTGTTGAAAAAGTTCTCATTTTTTTCAAGATGCTACAAACTCTTAAGTTTCTCTGTTTCATGCAATAGAACAAGATGCGGCTTTCTTTTAACATTACCAGTTAATTAAATATCAACAAACTGAGTTTGCTATTATAGGTGTTTAAACAGTTCATTCTTTTCTAAAATGTCACTTTGGACACTAGTTTATGCCGTACATGTGCCCTGAGGAGATGTTGTAGTATCAACCATATTGATGTTTTACCATTCTTGTCTGTTTAACAAGCTGCAGGCCCCACCCGCGATGATTAGTTCTCATTAACTAGAATGTTTTAAGCCATAAGATTTTAAATGTGCTTTAAGTACTCCACAACAGTGACCAGATAAATGTGGTTGTGGTTGATAAATGTGTTGTGCAATTTCTGTCATGCATCTAACTTGTTTGTACTGAAGTATCCATTGCATTTATGTCATACAATGTAGATGCAGACAAATTTTCTCTGAAACTGCTATGCAGCTAATATACTGTAAATGTAGATCTGTTAGTTTTTGAATATATATTTTTCTATATAGCCTCTCCTGTTTTCAACATAAAGGAGATACCAAAATAGATGTTCTTTCTATTATTTATGTTGCTTGCTGAAACATTTTCTGATGCTTTGAGTGCTGCCTGAAACTGCTTTTAAACCTTTTACTCAGTTAAAATCCAAATTTCTCTTCTCAGCAGCCATCTTTTTTTTTGTTTTTGTTTTTTTTGGTGAGACAAGGGTCACTAATTGTTTGTCAGTCTTCTTTATTCCATTCTTGCTTGTAGGGTTCATGTGGAGGTTTGTGTTATATCCAGGCTTACTGTTTACTAGTGCAGGGGTTCCTAGTCTTTCTGATTTCTCTCAGGGCTTCTGAGTTACCAGATGTCATATCATTCTCACATATCTTCTTATTCAGACCAGTAAACATCAATGCATGCTAGATTTGTTTGCCTTGTAATTTAGAAATGGTGTGAATGACAAATTCTACAAAACATCAATATTTAGTGTCATTTGTCCCTAAATTTGTTCTAACATTATCTAATATTGCTGTGTTAGTCTTATATTATCAATTTACAATACCATATACTTACTCCACACCTCTGTAACATCTTAAATCTGTTCACTCTGAACACAAGAGAACCACTCTACTAGTAAACAGCTTTTGTTTAGTCCTGGAAATAGCAAGGGGGAAATTTTGCCTTTTTGTTTCTAACTATGTGAACAATTGTCAAATAATCACCCTTGGGAGAAAACACCTTTCTATATATTTGGCTTTTGTTCGGACATTTTTATTCTCTTGCAAATAATTTTTTGTAAACTTGCTGCTATCTATATTAAACATATATACTTTAAATGTTAAGCCTTTGAGCTTTTATTTCATGTTTTGTTGTAAGCTACTGCATAAGAACACTTGACTGCAGGCTGATGATCTTCAACTAACAAAGAGAAAATTCAGATACTTCATTACAGCTTGTCTATAGCTCTTTATTTCTTAAAGCAAATACCAAACAGTGATTAAACACATGAAGGGCAGTTCAGCTATCTGTAAATGTTTAACCCATTGACCTTTCTTGTTTTTAAAGCCTCCAAAGCTGTAGGTCGACAAATATCTTCCATTGGAAAGATTTCAGCAAAATGTTTAAAATTCATACCTGTAGTGTTTTTACTTAATTGGATGTCTTTCTTTCTGTGTTCTATGTGTCTTGCTGAGGCTGTTACTGGCTTTACTAATTGACTTTATTTAAGAAAAAAAAAAAAAAGAAAAAAGTATGACCCTTCAAGTCTGAAAGCAAATGATGACAATTATGTGCCAACTGCTGTGCCTACGATTCCTCATATACAACTTACTATTGGCTACAGACCATATCCTGCTTAAAACTTCTGTTCAGGTACTCAGTTTATTTACGCACTGATTGTCCTCCTGATAGATTATGGTGCATAAGTGTGTCATTACAGACTAAATGTAGATCTTTGCAAAATTAAAGGCTAAAATCAAATAAAACATCGAAGCTCCTTTTACATGAGGCTGCAGTTTAGCAATGTGGTTGTATGTGGAAGTATTTATTGATTTAAAGCAAGCCAGTGTCAGTCAGTCATCAATCTGTCTTTTTAACTCGTTTATCTTTGATTATTACTATGTCAGGTCAAAATTTCTTGCCAACCAGCACTCCATTGTGTCAAAAACTTTTGGTCAGTATTGTGTGAATTTTACTGTGATTAATTATTATTAGGGATGAATTATGATGACCCCCTGACCTTTCTTATAGTGCCACCATCAGGATGAACATTCAACATTACATGTTGTTCCCCACTAGTAGCCTATAATATCAAAAAGGGCCTGTTGTTTTAATGGCTATAGTGAACAGTTCAGCCTTTGTGGTCCACCAGCAGTCAGTCTTGAATAGTCAGTTCTGTTGTAAAAATTTCTGTTTTCTGATTTCGAGGATGGGTACCGCATGTTGTTCGTTCCCAGTGCACTTAAAACTGTTGTGGGTAATTTAGAAACTGGTATCGTGTCTGTTTTCGTTGGGCTGATATCCGACAGTCCCGCAAACGCACCACCAACTTCTCGCGTTTTTGCGGCGCGTGCACGTCAGTTGTTCTTTCTGCGCGCAGCATTACGAACATGGCCGACGTGACAGCGGTGGACGGAGAGAAACTCAGCAAAAAGTAAGCCTGTTCATTTCCTCCATCGCGTGTATACCATTCTCAGCCCCATACACTGTTTTATTTTCCTCAAATAATTAGCTGTTTCAACAATTGTGAACGTTGAAATTTGCTTTGCAATATTACTAGATGTTGCATCAGGTCAGAGGGTGAAAGCGAAATGAGGGTTCCATATGGAGGCACACGACAAGCCTACATATCCCTTGAGCAAGTTCGTTTGTGTCTGGTAGTTGTAGTTCTGAACATGAACTGTAGTCATTCGCGATAGTGCTTTTTACTAATCAGTAAAACTACAAGATCCAAAATACATCAAAGAAACGTCCTCCACACGCTGATCTCGCTTTCAATTGTGATAGATATAGTTTTAACGTGTGATATATTTATTTATGGCATTTTGCTGTTGCAAAACACTTTGTTGTTTTAAATATTAAACACATACAAGCGTCAGAAGAATTTTTGAATGATACAAACAGCATTTTCCTTCGTTCTTCTTCACTTCCTTTACTTGCTAGCAATGATGTTAGGTTATCTCTGACACGCCCGCTTGGCTAACAGAAAGAAATGCAAACCTAAACTTATATCAAATTCTCGACGAGTGTTTATTTAAACCTTTTTATTTTTGCTCTTACCTCCATAGGGTCTTCGTACAGACTGATAGAGTTATATTAGCCCAACAGTGTTCAATTCTTACCGGTGGGCCAAAGACAGCCTTTTCCGTATATACTGTACACTGTCTTTGTATAAATGTCTATTTTCTCAGGTCTGCCTGCTGACTGTGGTAGCTCAGCATGCTGTGTCTGGTCAGGGCAGCCAGACAGCAGCTGTGCCATGCCTATGGGGTCAGGGGACAGTGGTTAAAATGTGCATCCCCACGCACAGCTGCAGTCCCAGCTCAAATTTACGGGAACCGATGGAGAGGTGACAAAAGGTTGGTGGCTTTTCCATTCCAGTGTGAAAAACAACCAACCTTTTGTCATCAGAGCAAATGTGGTCCCCTTTCCCTTTCTGCATGATTGTTTGTTGTGTGTCTCTGTTATTAGTAGATTGTGCCAAGCCCTTTTTGATTTTTTTTTTTTTTTTAATTATTACTATTATTATTATTTCAGACACCAGAATACAATAAAATGTACAGTGTGGTTATGTAGGAAATCATATTTGTGAGCAGTTGTTACATTCAAATCTCTATTCAGTTTTATTTGTTGTTAGATTATAAAAATGTTAATATACAATCTATGACTCATCACTTTCTGTTTTGTCCTTTCGTTTTTATCAGTGAGCTGAAGAGACGAATGAAAGCTGAGAAGAAGGCGGCTGAGAAAGAAGCCAAAGTGAAAGACCAGGTGGAGCAAAAGAAGGAATCCAATGACCAGGGAGTGCAAAATGTCTGTGGGCTGGATGAGGAGACACTTGACCCAAATGTGAGATTTTTGTATGCCATTATACCTTAACTCTTTACTTATTAAACCCAAAATGTTTTTGTCTTTTCTGTAAATAAAATAATCTGTTTCCCTCTACTGTAGCAATACTTCAAGATTCGCTCCCAGGCCATCCAGGACCTGAAGGGCACAGCGGAGGACCCGTACCCACACAAGTACCATGTAGACTTGTCGCTCATAGAGTTCATTGAGAAATTCAATCATCTACAGCCTGGAGACCAGCTGACAGATGTTGTTCTCAATGTGTCAGGTACCAGGAATATTTTATGATCCTAAACACATTTAGTATTTTATACATACTGTATAATTCAGCAGTAGAGCCCCTGTTAAACTTCATATACGTTTGGCAGGTCGTGTCCATGCCAAGAGGGCTTCTGGTGCCAAGCTGCTCTTCTATGACCTGCGGGGTGAAGGCGTTAAGTTGCAAGTTATGGCGAACTCAAGGTACACCATGATCACGCAAGGTCAAAAAACATCTTTATACTTGTTTGGTCTACTCTAGTTTTTTGCATTAAACAACATGAAGCGATATTTAGAGGTATCACAACAGCAAACCAATGCAGATTCCTTTAAGTTGGCATGAACTTAGCTGAAGGGCTTCCCACTAAAGTCGAAATATTTCATGTTCACAAGTTATAATG